TGACCATAAATATTTTTTTTGAGCCAGCTAAGCTCTGCTTTCGTTCACTACATACCAGCCAGTTCTTAGAATAACTTCATGAATTCTGTGGTCACCCCTACGACATCTGGGGCAGCCAAAATGGTTGGAATCTGAAACGCAGAAGCACCAACCCCTTGTTATGATAACACAAAGGTTGAATTTACTGCAGCTAATCTGGCAACCTATACGACTCACGGAGAGACATTTCCTCTTGTATTCCCCCACGGGGAAGAAGGCAAGGCCGCACAGAAGTGTGGTTAAAAAAAAAGAGCCAAAGAAAAGATACGCAGTATTGGTGTGGTGAATGTGAGCCAGCGCTGTGTTTAGACGAATGCTTCAAGGCGTCACCTGCTTGCATTGCCGAGATACCGGGCGCTCATATTATAAGGCAAGGTTATAAAACCATCTTTTAAGATCATTTTAGTGAAAGTTTCATCCTTCAAGGCGTACCATTCACTGCTCAAATACTAAACAACCTGCTTCCATTGCCGAGATACAGGGCGCTCATATGATAAGGTAAGGTTATAAAACCACCTTTTAAGGTCATTTTAGTGAAAGTTTCATGTTCCTATCTCATATAATTTAAGAAAAAATGATGAATAAATCATTTTCAAGCAAAATTTAAATGGACGGCTGAATATATTACCGCCGGAGAGACGGTCGCGGAATTTAAATGACCGCGCGGAAGGGTTAAACGTGGCAGACCGGTCGCATAATATTATGATTTTAGGACATGTTATGTTGCAACACACTATACCTTGCTCTGGCACCACGCAGATGCATAACTAGTGCGTAACAGACCTCCCGAATGTTTGCTTAGTAGTCAGTAACATGACCTCGCCGTTTTCCTATCCCTTGCCTTTGTTCATCTTCAAGCTGTATGTACCAGGCAGTAAGTTAGTAGTGCAATATGGATCAAGGACGAAAGCGGTTGAAGACCAAACGCTCTCTCGGAGAACAAGAAATATCCGACTTGTTCTCCAATGAGCTATCTGACGTGCCTTGTGAGACGTGTAGTGATAGTGGACAACAAAGAATTGTGGCCACAGACAGTAAAAGTGACAGTAGCTATCTTGATCAAAATTACCATGTCTATCAAGACAATTATTATAACAGCGTGGCAACTGCAGAACACCTTCTTTCGAGAAAAGTATGTGTTTGTGGAACAATTAAGGTGAACAGAGGCCTTCCTCCAGATCTGAAAGAGGAATCTAAATTCCTGAAACGTGGTGAAACCACATTCAGGAGGAAGGGGGATATTCTTCTTCAGTCCTGGAGGGATACTCGTGTTGTGAATGTGATTTCCACAATTCACAATTCAAACACAGTTGATGTTCAAAGGAGACATGGACAGGTAAAGAAGCCTGTATGTATTTCTGAGTATAATATGTTCATGAAGGAAGGTGATTATTATTCTCTTCCTCAGAAAACAGTAAAGTGGACAAAGAAAGTTGCCTTGTGGCTTATAAATTGTGCCATTTTCAATTCATTTTTGGTTTTCAAAAATCTAAACCCTCATTCAAAATTGAAATACAAAGCATTTCTGATGAATGTGGCAAAGGCCTGGGCTACAGACCAGATGGTGGCAGCAGAACCAGAGTCAGACACAGACTTAGTGCGACCGGGCCCATCAACTCCCACCCCATGCAGGCCTCATGTGGACCCCCCCTGGGCGACTCTCTGGTGATATGTGGAAACATACCCTCATGAAAATTGTGAAGAGTGAACGTGCAAGCCTTCTAGGTGATGCCGTGTTTGCGCAGTACACAATAAAAGGAGTATGACGGTCTACATGTGCAAGTTCTGTGTAATGCCACTTCACAAAGGGGAATGTTTCCAGAAATATCACACTCTCAAGTACTTCTAGGAGCATTGGTAAGTGTTCTCCAAAAATTTTAGTTTGCAAAATTAATTAGGAGGTTTTATATTAATTTTTAAAGTGAACAGTGCACAAGTTAGGGTAGTAGATTTAAAATGCCGGTCTCCAGGGTGATTTAAATATTTAAATCTCCAGTCTGCAAAGTGTTAAAAAATCCTCAGTTACTTTTAGATGACAAAGTTGGGGGGGAGGGGGAAGATATATTTTTATCCCCAACATTTAGCAACAACTTTTTGGTTACATAGATATGAATAAGCTGATCACTAGGGCCCAGATTTCTATGACATGTCATATTTTTTTCCTAGGGTTTATTCCTATTTTTAAATGTAATTATGCATATTTCCAGTCATTCTTATTGAAATTATGCCGTTTTTATTGTGCATATAAATGCATATTTTAGAGTTTTATTGGTTTTACAGCATATTTTGGCATAATTTTGAAATAAGGTCATATTTTTGTCATTTTAGAAACAATTCTTTGATATAATGTAAAATTTCGGCTCCATAATGTTTAGTATTAAAAATAAATTTCAGGCTGGACTGTTACTTCAATGTGGAATAGAGTTCAAGTACATGAAGTTCATATTAAAAACCATATTTTTGACTGGACTGTACTTGCAGTTACAAAGGCGAAAATTTGTGAAATGCAGCATTTATGACCTGGCAAGCCGGCCTTTCCCAGTCGAGGCAGGAGGGAGGCAAGTGTAATGGGTATTTTCCTATTGTACTCCGTCTTACTATAAGGTATATACATCCCATTCTTTCTTGGAGGGCTTAGAAGTATTCTATTTATATATGTGGAGGGCGTTATAAGACTTCAGTTTGACCTTACAATGCCTAAAGTGAGTACATGTAGTTCAAGGAGTGCAAGGTTGCGTAGTTTTGTACAGGAGTTTGGTGATAAAGTGTTTAGTACCGATGGCAAGATATTTTATTGTAAGTTGTGTGGCGTGAAAGTTACGGCAGAAAAGCGATTTACTGTGCAGCAGTAAAACTTTTAAACATGGTAAATGTTTAAGCAGATTATCTACAAAGGATAGCAGACAAAGTTTGTTGTTTAAAAACAGTTCCACTAATTCTTCTTCTTCTTCTTCTTCTTCTCCTTCACCTTCTTCAACGAACAATGGGTCGGAATTTTCGAAGGATTTGTGTCAGTGGATGGTATCTTCGAATATTCCATTAGAGAAATTGCATAATCAGCACTTCAGACAATTTTTGGAGACATACACTAGTCATCCTATCCCAAGTGAATCGACGTTAAGAAAGAATTATCTTTCTACATGTTATGAAGATATGTTAAATAAGATCCGAACATCTGCTGCTGACAAGAAGATATGGGTTTCCTTGGACGAGACTTCTGACATAGATGGGCGGTATATTGCGAATGTTATAGTTGGGACCCTGAAACAAGATCAACCTGGAGAGAGATTTCTTCTTGACTGTGAAGTTCTCGAAAGAGCAAATCATTCGACTATAGCTGTCCTATTTGATAATTCCATGAAGTTGTTGTGGCCAAATGGAATACAGCGAAATAATGTCCTTCTCCTAGTAACAGATGCCGCTCCATACATGAAGAAGGCTGCCAAAGGACTTCGAATCCTCTACCCGAAAATGGTCCATATTACTTGCCTCGCTCATGCATTGCATAGAGTGGCTGAAGAAGTTCGAGGACATTTTCCTGATGTAGATAGGCTAGTTTCAAATGGAAAGAAAATATTCATCAAGGCCCCTCTTCGAGTGCAGAAATTTAAACAAGAAGCTCCTCTACTGCCACTTCCTCCATAGCCTGTCGTCACACGGTGGGGTACATGGTTGGATGCTGTGGCATATTATTGTGAAAATTACACAGCCATTGAGAAAATGTTTAATGGCTTTGACAGCAGTGAGTCAACATCAATTAAAGCTGTCAAGGACTTATTCTCTACCACTCTAGCACAAAATCTGGCATACATAAAGTCAAACTTCTGTTCAATTTCAGGTGCAATAACTCGCCTGGAATTTGTAGGGACTGAACTCTGTGACGCGTTGGACACTGTAAAGAGCATTGAGAATGAACTAAACCGAACTCGTGGTGAAATAAGTGACAGGATTAAAACCAAAATAGAAAGTGTTCTTCATCGGAATGCTGGTTATTCAACATTATGCAAGATTGCAGATATACTTTCCGGTAAACTAGCAACATTCGAAGATGATACAGAACTGTCACCAAACGACTTGACATTCTTCAAATATGCTCCTGTCACATCATGTGATGTGGAACGAAGTTTTTCCAAATACAAAACTATCCTTAGTGATAATCGGCGATCTTTCAAATTTGAAAATTTGAAAATGCGTGTAGTTATAAATTGCAATTGTAACAGTGAAAATTGAGATGTGAATAACTCAGTGAAAACTGAGACATGAATAGCTTGTGTTCTTTTAAATGGTTTTTAGATAACAGAGTTAAGCTAGTGTTCATACCATGTGCACCAGTGTTTGTCTAAAATATGAACGCAAATATCAGTATTAAAAAGAAAACAATGAATGGTTTAATCCAGTACGAAATGTCGAAATTCCATCAGTTTTCTTTCCTTCAGAGA